ACACAGAAACTCAGTCTATGTAACATTACCAAATAGTTTTCTTAATAAGTTTCTTTTCTCAAATATTCCTATCAGTATAATTACTAAAATAAGTCCTGGCTTACAAATAGTCTATAAAGATTTTTATACAGATTTTATTTAGCCTCAAGACAATTGAATATCTATCTATTTAAAAAGCTCCACTATTGTAAAATACAGTCATCAAAAAGCTGCTTCACATAAATGGGCAAAACTAAGATTTGACTGAGGACTTCTCTTTAATCAAAAGGAGGAAAGGAGTAAGAGGGAAAAAAAAAAGGTTTAGGCCCTGGCTTTGTGTTATTTAAAAAAAAAAAAAAAAAGAGAGCACAGTTTTCACAAATATTGATCACTTTTTACCTTCTCCATCCTTTAAGTGGCACAGATCCTTTTCCAGGGTGATGGAAAGTTGCAATTGATGCAAACAGCCATGCTAGCAGTAAAATGAATGCAATGAATATAGCACGGAGGGGTAGCAAAATGATCCCCTGGAGAACAGTCTGGAAAAAAAAGAGGGGAAAAATCTTAAGAAATGGTATCAACAGGAATGACACTGATATCTGTGTAGTAACATTATATGGACGTTAAAATACTAACATTACTGCTCTGTGATTTAGTACGGAAGGCATTAATGATTCCATTGTTCATATGGGGAAGTCAGTTGCAGCATTTCATTTTCACTTTTGGGTTCTCATTTCAGCTAGAACTGGAACATCTGAGTATTTGAGGTTTTGGGTAGGAAGCTGTTAGACAGAGAGGATAAACAGAGTTTGCTGGCTTTAGTTTATACTTAGACTTGGCCTGCAGCATACAACCAGCTCAGATGAGTCTGCCCAGCTGATACATACCTCCACTACGGAGCCTTCTGTCACTAGCTGCCTGTCTAGAAGCCAGGTGGGATTGTTAAGATGATTAAAATGTACTCTTGCCCTTTCCAAAAGACAAATCTTGTGTTGAGTCACACTATTGCTGCAAGTGATCCTCACTACTACTGCCTGGAGTAGTGCACACGCAACGCAACTTCATTTCCCATAGTTGGGACTTCAGCAAAACGGAATTTTCAGTAAAACTGAACCTGTGGTTTAAGGCAAAGGGTCAGACTTTACGGTGCCGTTGAAGCTGCTGTAGCAGCTCTTGGCTCATTGCCTTTGGAAGCGGTTTGGTCACCACCTGCTGTAAACATAGAGCAGAACCCTTCTGATTATGAAGATTAACTTGTTGCCTCCTGTTTGAAGCATCTTGTGTATTAACCTCTGTGCTAGGACCTCCTTGAGTTTTTCAGAATAAATTGAGAAAGCGTAGTTCCCTTTCCTCCCTGCAATCAGGAAACTGTTACTAGCTTGCTTTAACTTGAAGCAGAAGAAACTATTGAGAGAGTTCTGCTATGGTCACAGACAGCCAAGTTAGGTAGAAAAACCAGTATAAAACAGATCCACGCCTGTTCACTACTTCTTCAGTTCTTCATATATGTTTTTAAGGGCAGCGGAGGGAAGGCGAAACACTAACATGCCCTGGTTGCAAATAATCCTCAAATATCATCCCCAGCAACCCGTAAGGAATTTTTAGCTTGCATTTTTTCGTGCACAGCTCCTGGAAACAGGTGTATTGGCACAAGGTTGTTAACAGGCAGCTGTGGTGCAGGGCAGGGCAGGAGGAAATTCATAATCATTTAACCCCAGTAAATTAGGTTAGAAACTGTATCCTGAAGGTTGGCCTTTGTGGCGCAACTCAGCACTATGCATATTGAGCAAGCACAGGTCTGGGAGGCAGGTGAGCTGTGTTAGCATGCGGAAGTCATAGCATAGCGTTCCTGGTAAGCTAGGAAACGGTTCAACTCCTTTTGGCACCTAATCCAGCTCAGCTACCACTCACCGATGAGGATCAGCTCTATGTACATACATATGCATGAAAAAATACACACCCAAGCAGAATTGTTGTAGTGATTTTTTTTTTTTCCAATTTATTTTATTTGGGCTATGTTTCTGAAAGTCCCTCAAAACTTACATGAGAGTGCATCACTAGTCACAGACTGACAGCTCCACCAGTTCAGAAGTATGGTAGAAGTTACTGAAGGACAGTTATGCTAATGTAATTTCTGCTTGTGAGTGTACTATTTTTTATGCTTTACTACTTTTTAAGAAAATCTACAACTGAAGAACAGTGTTCCTGTCTCAAAATCAGCCTTTCTAGACAGCTCTTCAGCAATGGCTACTTACTGTACAGGAAAAACAAAGCCTTTTAATAATAAGTTTTATAAAATTGTTTGCAACTTACATACTTGAGCTATGATTATTAAGCAACACAGTGGATTTTAATTTACCTCTTCTCTTTAAAAAGGAACAAGTATTTATAGTACATTTGGAATATAAGCATCTTTGAGTATTATTTATCCAAATCTTTGATATAGTGGGTTGGTTCTAATTTTCCTTTCATCAACATGGTCCTTTCCCTCCCCATCAAATCCCTTCCATCTTCATATAATGTCCTCTTGTCAATATTCAGGAAAGGCTCTGGCCTCTGGCTCTAACCTCTGTCATAGTGACGAGGATTAACAGGAATTTGGGGCCTTCAGGACTCAGTTCTGTGTTACAAAAGGCACCGTGACAGCAAACATGATAGTGGATGCCCAGTGTAAGTTAGGATAAGCATGAGAAGCAGGTACCCAGTGTTGATGTTTATGTTTTGTAAGCACTGCCATATAGCATGTTTTCAGGAGAGATCTGAATATTCAGGTATGATTATTTCCTTCTTCCTATACAACAACAGTTGTATATAGCTAGCTATGGAATTTTAACCATAACTTCATGGACACCAGGAAAAGGACTGCTCTGGATCACAGAAATGGGTTCAGTAGCTGAGTATGAGAGATTTGGCCCTGGAGATCTATTGCTCCCACTCTCGTTGGGGCCAGTTGTGGTGAATCTGAAAAAGTCAGGTAGCAAGTTAAACCAACCAAGGCTTCTTGCTTGTCTCCCAAAGTCAGATGTGTCTTTTTTTTCTCCATATGCATCCTTTGTACTCTGATCAATAGTCCCAGTTCAACATCGCAGCTGCATCCAGAATGGGCAGCATAAGCATAAATCTGTGTGTTTTGACTTAAAATAACTTTTTGCTTCATGAAAAAAGAATATATATGCAGTGACCTACAATGAAAAATAAAGCATGCAATTGCAAAAGCAAAACAATCCCTTCCTCAAAACTTTAATAAATTCATTAATCTATTTTAGGCAGATGTGCAGGTGGTACTGATTTGCTGATGCAAGCTATTAGCTTTCCAGGTCACTGTGTAATGAGGCAGAATTGATTTCTGCTCCATCAGCTGCAGAGCAGGGTAAGAAAAGGACAGAAAAGAGAAAGGTCAAGGTAGGCTGGAAAAGAAGAAGTATAGGAGAAAGACATACAGAAGAAAATACAGGTCCAAAGTTTCGTAACTACTAAGTAGGATCAGAGCCACTCCAGCTTCTGTATACAGTAATCACAAAGACAGAATTATTCTGAGTCATCCAAAGGACCTTTTCCCACATTTGGAATCACCTGTGTACTTTCTAGTTAAGGTGTGTGCAACAACCGCACAGCCTGTCCCTGCGGTTGTTGCAGACGCCTGCAGTAGTCCTTGCAGTCCCGGTCACACTCCCACAGCTGACTGACCCTTCAGCAATACCCAGGATTATACTGTCACTGATGTCAGGAACTGGGGAAAGGGAAAAGCAGGTCTATCACAAAGCCACAGAATTCAGTTTGAAATTTTGTTCAACTTCAGCTGCTGACAAGTTATCTAGGAAGCAGCAGAAGAGCAGGCGGGGGACCAGAGTGAAGCCCAACTCCAACTGAACCCCTCTGACATCTGAAACGCTGATCAGATGGACTGTGTCCCAAAGCAGTATGAGCATAGCAACACAGGGTCTCCCACGAGTGTCCAGAGTCTGTCACAGCTCTGCCAGGCAGTCTAGCTGCTTGCTTCCAAGCATAGGGTTAAAAATAACGCTTTTAGCATGCTGGTTGTGCCATTACATAGTTTGCCATTACATAGTTCACCGTTACCGAAGTCCACTGAGCAGCTCTTCTGAATGAAGTGAAATCTAGTAATGACTTAACTAGTATTTGTGCTTTGCAGTTGCAGTTCAGAAGTTAGGAGGGCAAGTGAGCTATCAGGAGGAACAGAACTAAAACTTAAAAAAGAAAAAAATCCCAACAATGAAATGCAGCCAGCTTCAGTCAGAGGATGGAAACCAGAACAACTGTTTCAAAATCTTATTTGGCACATGCAGATGTTTAGCACAGCACATCTGATCCTTGTTTTGCACATTCTAAAGAAAGACAAAACTATTAGCAATACAAGGAATGGCAAAATATTGTAGAATCTTCTCACTCCACTTTTCAGTCTGGCTACAGCCTATTTCTATATTTGAAGCTGAATGAAATGCAAACAGTTAGCCTGTCTCACTTTCAAGCTCCACTGACAGCAGCCATTACATTCAAGGAGTTCACCAACATGTGAAAATCTAGCTTTGGGCTCCCAGAGAGGGTTTTGAAATTGTTATTTGTTTTTATCAGCGTATGTTAAAGGAATAGTATAGAATAAGAGGAATATAACAAAACAATCATTTAACATGCAAGAATGGGGATACACTACACTTGATTTAAATGGAAAGAGAAGGGACACTTCCCTTTTTTGAAGTTTATAGTAACACTCTCCGGTACGGCTTTGATTCTCAGCTGGTCTGATACACAGTGCTGGGCAAGAGAGGAGCAGACTTTGACTGGATAAAGCTGACAGTAGGAAGTATCCTAGCCTCTATGGCTATAGGGGAAAAAGAACAGAAGGGAGCAACACACAATACAAAAAGGTTGTCTTTCTTGTGTCTTTCTGCTTTAAAATTCAGTGACCACTGCAATTTTGCTCCAAAGCTCACTAGCACCAGGCCCTGACCCAGCCAGGTGCTTTTTCTTCCAGGTGCACTGTGGAGTTATGTATGGAGTGTATCTTGCTTTAAGACATACCATGTTTTTCATCCCTTCCTCCTGAAGGAAAAAAGTAGAATATATTTATTACAGCTAAAATGGTAATTGTAGCTTCAAATTGCAAGCTTTTGAAAGTAGTCTGTGTATCCTCTAGAAAGAACAGCCAGCACAGAAAGCTGTCCATTTCTGGAACCTCATTAAGAGACTGGTTTCTTTACCTCGGGGTTCATGCCTACAGCTACTGATTCAGATGCACTTGAGATGTGTTTCAGGCTGCTGGTAAAACATAGGGGATAAAAGGATTTGAAATTGTTTTCCAGGTTTCTCACATTTCCTCCACCCAGCTACCTTCAGGGCAAACATTGTTTATAACTTGAGGAAGAGCTATGTGGAACATAAAATATTTAGTTGCACATCAGCCGCAGATATTTGTAGCAATCAGCAGAAAATGCTGCAAGTTCACCTACACACTGATGTCCTCACTGTTCTCACTGAGTTGTCAGTTCCTATTTGGTTCATCAGCCCAATTTTTAAAGAG